AGTCTGTAATATCCTAGAACTGTTAGTTTGAGAAGATGTGCAGTCTTCATAATGTTTGTCACATCCTAGAACTGTTAGTTTGAGAAGATGTGCAGTCTGTCCTATCCTAGAACTGTAAGTCTGAGAAGATGTGCAGTCTGTCATATCCTAGAACTGTTAGTTTGAGAAGATGTGCAGTCTGTCATATCCAAGAACTGTTAGTTTGAGAAGATGTGCAGTCTGTCCTATCCAAGAACTGTTAGTTTGAGAAGATGTGCAGTCTGTCATATCCTAGAACTGTTAGTTTGAGAAGATGTGCAGTCTGTCCTATCCAAGAACTGTTAGTTTGAGAAGATGTGCAGTCTGTCATATCCAAGAACTGTTAGTTTGAGAAGATGTGCAGTCTGTCCTATCCAAGAACTGTTAGTTTGAGAAGATGTGCAGAGTCTGTCCTATCCAAGAACTGCCACTGGTAAAGAAGCAACAATGTCTGCTAGTTCCACACCTCCTGGACATCAACAGCAATGTACATCCCTGTAGTATGGATTGTCTCATTTGTAACTACTATTCACCTGCTCCCCCTTTCCACTCACTGTCACAGCCATATTTGAGTATAGTAGTCTATAGCAGATAAAACATGCTACCCATGCTCTAATCTCTCCCTCATATACTTTCTGTTTCTGCCTATTCAAGTCTCATGGTGGACAAACCATGCTGCATGTTAACCTTCAACCCTGACCTCAGGTCACATGTTAACCTTCACCCTGACCTCAAGTCTGTCACTGGTTAACTTTCACCCCTAACCTCAAGACATGTCACATGTTAACCTCATCTTGGAGGACGCTGGCCAGCAGGTTACTCTGCGAGCTAAAGGTGCCAAAATATAAATGTTTTATAAGTTTTCTGAGACTTTCCCAATGTAACTGTTCTATAACAAGCTTTCTGAGACTTCCCTAATGTAACTGTTCTATAACAGGCTTTCTGGGACTTCCCCAATGTAACTGTTCTATAACAAGCTTTCTGGGACTTCCCTAATGTAACTGTTCTGTAACAGGTTTTCTGGGACTGTCCCAATATAATGTTATATAACTTTCTGGGATTTGCTATTGTTTGATTCACATTCAACTAGTGACTAGCTGAGTCATTGGCACTCAATATGTCAAGTTGCAGCACTCAAAGAGCACAGGTCTTGACGTTGTTGAACAACTGAGGCGCAGAGAAGGATCACTCATGAGGCTTGTCTGAGATTAAGGCGCGGAGAAGGACCACTCTTGAGGTTTGTCTGAGATTAAGGCGCGGAGAAGGACCACTCATGAGGCTTGTCTGAGATTAAGGGGCGGAGAAGAGTCACTCCTGAAGCTTTTCTTTCAGTGAATGCTTCTTCTTGTAATGTGACATCAGTGAAGTCTTGAGTGTAAAGCCCTGGCCACAGTCCTCACAATTGAATGGAGCCACCCCCGTGTGAGTGGTTGAATGTCTAAGTAGCTCCCGCTTCTCCATGAAACTCTCCTGACAAACATCGCACTGATATGGTTTGACACCGGTGTGTTTGCGCTCATGCCGGACCAGGCTGGATTTATTGGCATATCCCTTTCCACAGACGGCACATTTGTGCAGGAGCTCGCTGTTGTGAAGAGACATATGAGCTCTCAGTTTGGAGTTTTCAAGGAAAGTTTTCCCACAAGCATCGCACTTGTGCTTAAATATTTTCACCCCGTAATGAGAGTTGAGGTGTCTCTCGTAAAATTTGCCTCTCTTCTTCCAGCTGAACTTCTTCTTGCAGACGGGACACTCTAAGGTGCTGTCCTTGTGGCTTGTCTCCATGTGGTAGTGCAGGTCTTTTCTGAACGCAAACTTTTCACCACAGAACTCACACACAGTAATCTCCCCCTTGTGTCTGTGTTTGCTTCGCTTTTTGTGAGGTTTAGTCCATGTTGGATCTCTGGAGCCTGTGGTGTCCAGGCTGGAGAACGTACTGCCGAGGTCCTGCACCGCTGAGCTAGCGGTGGAGGTGATCTCGGAATCAAAGTAGCTGGTCGTTGCCGTGAATAATGATCCAGCCCCTTCTATTTCATCATCATCCTCAGGGTGTCCTAAGAAGAAATATTCAGATGACTTGGTGGTCCACTCCCTGACCTTCTGTACTGCTAGAACTTGGCTTATGTGCTCCTTGAGGTGCTCCGACAGATCTTCTATGGACTGACACACATACCTGCATGTGTGACACTGCAAACTGTCTCTAGCAGCTCTCTCTGGCAAATAACTCCCAGCTCCTCTATTCTCAGCACAAACAATGTTCTCACAGAAGTTCTTGCTGCCTGACACCTGCTGACTTGCTGCAATGTCACAGGACACATTTTTGGGGCAGAGCAAGCTTGCATCTCTGACCACATCCTTAGAAGCTGCTGTGTCTACTTCCCCAGAGACATTCAGCAGCTGCAGTGAAGCATTCATCTTCTCCTGCAGACTGGTCACACAATTAGAGCTGACACTGCCTGGGGCAGCAGCATTAGTGCCAACACTCAAATGGTTCTGTTCATGCATGTGCCGGATGAGAAAATGCCTCTTTTTGAACACCCTGTCACAGACACCACATTGATGTGTTGCCAGAACAGGGCACTCCTTTTTCTGGTGCCACAGGACTGTATTTGTCTCGATGATTTTATCACAAAACTTGCAGGCCATCTTGAACTCGCAGATATTTGCATCCTTCTCCTTGCCACAACTATCTGTCCTTTCCTGGCTCTTCTCATCTTTGGGTGGAAGCAGCCCGGACAGCCGTGAGGGCACCTTGCCTTTCAACATTAACTTGAGATACTTTTTCCATTTCTTCTTCTGCTGATGCTCGTGATGGTTGTGGTGGTGGCACTTGGTGTGAGTACAATCGTAGGAGTGATGGAACAAGCAAGGGAACGCTGTGGGCTCCACATATTCATGGTTATGGTGAGGGCTGCGGGAAGGCACTTGTGCTGCTGGTGCTGCAGCACCTGGGGAACAGTCGTCTGTCCTGCTGGAGGCGGTCCCATAGGCTGTGCTTGTCGTGAATGATTTCACAGAGGGGCCGTCCTCCTGTCCTGGCGAAAATGGTCCTGCAGGAAACTGAGAGCGAAAGGGGGGTGGTGGAAATGGCGGCCGAAATGGTACGCATGGAGGAAATGGCATAAATGGGAACATTGATGGCGGTGGTGGTCTGAAAGGGAAGTGTGACCAAGGGGGTCCGAACCCATAGGGATGATGAAATGGGTGATGTGGGCGCATGGGGCGCATGAAAGGTGGGGAGGGATAGGGAGAGAAGTGGATGTGGGATTGATGAGAAGCAGAGACACCCTCTGCCATCTTCTGCTGATGTTTCTCAAATTTATGCAAGACAAGATGACATTCCAGTTCAAATCTATTCTCAAAATTGGTGTCCCCACATTCGAAGCATTTCAGTGTCTTTTCTTTGTCTGCACGTTCATCATAATGAGCCTCCATCCAGTGGCGAGTCAGTTTGATTTTGTTAGGGAATCTCAGACTGCAACTGTCGCAGCTGTAGACTCCTCCGTGAGCATGTTTCATATGTCGCTTCAGGCCCATATCTGAGGCAAACCAGTTTTGGCAGACATGGCACTGTGCTGTTTTGTCCTTGAACCTGCAGGTCCAGCGTCGGTGTGCTGCCAGATGTACCGACTTCTCAAAACTGTCGCCGCAGGAGCACAGGAACGCCTGCTGGTGTTCTCTGGGAGCTGCTGCCGGGGTCGGGTCACAGACAGGGGATGCCTTTCTAGCACTGTGTGTGCCAGCCGACATATGTGCTCCCAACATCGGGTCGCAGGTAGGTGAAGCTTTTCCCACACTGTGTGTACTGGCAGACATCTGTGCTCCAAGGGTCGGACCAAAGACAGGGGAAGCTTTCCTAGCAGTGTGTGTACTGGCCGACATCTGTGCTCCCAGATGACTGTCAGAACCTTGTCTGTTATTGTGAGCATCATCATCATCATGATGCTCAACAAAACTCAGTTTTCTGGAAAATTCTGGGGCCAGCTGAGTGGAAATGCCACCGGGGCCTTGGGGTTCAGGGTCAATAGATGTATAACCCCTGTCGCTGCTGCCAATACTTTCATCATTGTCCATCAATCTGTCCATTGCTCAATGTACCCAGACTGGATCTGTAAATAAAATCAACAAATCGCTAATAAAATGTGTGAAATAACAAAAAATTTGTTGAGATGTTATTTAGCGACCCATAAATGTAGATTACCTGGCAGACTATGTGACAGGGCAAGTTGACTGCATTTGAGATAGCCGTAATTAGTTTCTTATTTAAAACAACAGCTGTATTGGGGGGAGCCCACCATATGCACACAACAATAATGATTCCTTTTCTTCTTCTACTGTGTGCTTCTGGTTATCATAATGAAGGATGGTTATCATATTGAAGGTTGGTTATCACAATGAAGGAATGATATCACAATGAAGGTTGGCTGTCACAATGAAGGTTGGTCATCACAATGAGGTTGGCCTGTTACAATGAAGGCTGCAATGGATCAATCTCAAACTGCTCTTCTCTCATCCTGACTGTACACTCGTTCAGTCTGTTATTCGTCCATCTCTTGATAATTTCTCCTGTTTCTATCACTGTCTCATCTGCTCTTTCGCCTTTGACCTTTCTCAAATGAACTTGGTTTGTTTTCTTCATCTTCTTCTTAGCATTGACCTGCTGTAAACTCCAGCGGAAAGTTCTGGTTGTTCGTCCACTTCTAGATTTTGGACTTGTTTCAGCCTATGATCACAATTTCAAAATAAAATTTAGACTCGACCTGTGAACAATGCCTCTGCACATGAATGCACAAACATGGCTTTGGCACATGTTTTCAGCCAACAAACAGCATTATTTATACTCAGGACTGCACATGAATGCACAAACATGGCTTTGGCACATGTTTTCGGCCAACAAACAGCATTATTTATACTCAGGACTGCACATGAATGCACAAACGTGGCTTTGGCACATGTTTTCGGCCAACAAACAGCATTATTTA